AGGAGTAAAATGAGAAACTAATATCGCAGCCCCTGAAGCACAGTTCAAAGAGCATTACAAAATAAACAGAATCAAAATCTGTGCAGTGGTTGCCCAGATATCTGCTATACGAGCTGAGCATAATGCCAAAAAAACAGTATTGAGAAAACTGCATTTAAAGTTTCAACTTCTTTTTACGTCTCTATAACACCTAAAAATTGTGATCTCCGGTTTGTCTTGTGATATTTGGACTTCTCAGGCATCTGGTCTCTGACCAGTGTGCCTTGTTGCCTTTTGTTTTTCCCCATAACCTCCTCTTCATGATTTACAAAGAACAAGTATGGATTTCAAACCAATTTCTTTGCATGAAGGAGTGGTGTGATAGACATGACCGAAAAGATTGTAATTGGATAAGACCATATACTGAAATTATTACACATATTTCTTCTGCTTAAGCTGTAATTAGCGTAATTAAGTACATGATTACAAGTAATCACTGAATATTTCTTTACTTGGAGAGAGATTTATTGCATCAGAAAAATGGATCACACCATGACAGCCTATGCCTTCTTTCCAAATAACAAAGTTATGGGAAGAAGACTGGTGGCACAGAATTTTTAGCAGTATATTTAATGACGCGAAATGGCCATATAAAATTTGTGCCCCTGATTCATACATGCTGTTTTGCCACTCTAGCCGTGAAATGCATCATCATACGGCCAGTCGCGGAAACGCTAATCTACGAAGCTTTCATTGCCTCAGAACATTCATAGACGTTCGTGCCGATACCAAGCACGGCTCCAAACATGTTTAATCACATCACAAAAGCTTATTGACAGCACTCCATATGACCGTGGAGTGCGCGGCCGCGTGGACAGTGCAGCCGGCGCGTAATGCACTTGCTGGTGGCGTTCGGTGACGATGCGCGAAATGTGTAATTAGGATTACAAAAAATCGGCGCGCAATTGCGCTTGGCATCGCATTCTTGAGTGACGACGCGCAAAACTGCTAGCCGCTGTTTTGAGCAATCCTTGGCAATGACAGGGAGGCGGGGTAGTGATGAGCTTGATTGTGTGGCCCACTGCGAATGCGTAAAATGCCGTACGTGGTTCAGAGGAGCTAGCGAGTGATTTGCTTCATTTCTTGCGAAGAAGCACGCCACCAAGAGTGCGCTAGCACGTTGTTCCTGCCCGCAGTCTCGCTGTCAGCGAAGTTAGGGCTAAAGACGACTCCGATGACGCGCCGCACTCATATACCGCGCGCCCACTCGTAGTAATCTGATCATGCATCCGGTGCGGCCGCTCATAGTAATCTGATCGTGCCGCCGCTTACAGCTTCGTTGCGTGCGAAGAAGCACGTCGCTACGAGTGCCCTAACCGTTCTTCCTGCCCACAGTCTGGCTGTCGGCGGAGTTACCGCGCTCGTAGACCGCGCGCCCGCTCGTAGAAACCTGATCGCCCTATCCGCTTACGGCTCCTAACTAAACCGTAATTATATCCTAAGCGATCATCGAGCCGTGAACACGTAACGAAGTAGCGATTTTTAAGAGCCATGTCCTTGCGACGCACAAGCAGCAGACCACGATCTCCCGGAGCGAGCATCGGGCCAATGGCGATGCGAGCTGAGGCAACATGGTGGCCACAGCCAATCAAGGGCCCCGAACCGACCTTCAAACATTTGCTTTTTGTGCGCTTGTTTTTAAAGGGAGGAGCCTAGCTGAGGCGGGAAAGTTAAATACAGAGAAATGCTCTTTTTGATGAGCCCAAGAAGCCGGCTCCCGGCCCCACCATCGCGAAGCTATAATTTTTCAAAAATCGCTGTTTTCTCGCAATTTCCAGAAGTTTCGCTACCTAGGTGGGTGAAATTAATTTTCTGAAGCACTTCTGCGCGGTTTTCAGTAGAGATATTTTGGAATCAGGCAGAAAAAGGGTTCCAGAAACTGAAAACTTGATTTTCAAAAAACCGATTTTTTTGCCGTTTTTCGCGATCCCAAAGGCGCGTCCCCCCTTAAACTGCAAGCATTAAGTGGCTGAAGTACACACCAGGAACAGGATATTGCTATCGCATTCAACGCTTCAAGGCAAAGCTTAAGGATACCCATTTTTTTCCGCCGGTATGCAGGAAAGGTTCGCCCAGTCACCGGTCACTGACAGGGTTGCCTCAAAGCTTAAATCTGCCTTAAAAAGAATCCTAGATTGTATGTGCTAAAGCAAGTGTCTGAAGTTTCGAGTGATGCTGACTCAAATATTCTGGATGCAATTAAAGCATTAAAAGTGCCAGGCCACAAGTACGCTTCACTAACTTCAGTGGACGTCGAGCATTTTTTTTTCGCATAAAAGCAAATACTGACTGAAAGCAAACACAATTCAGGCCCGAAAACTTTGAGATAATGCTTGTTTATCCCTGTTTTCATAGCTTTTCCCACAATACCAAATTACCTCAGCTTTCACCTAAATCTTTTTGAATGATTATGCTTATAGTTCAGTTCTTTTAATGAAAAAAAAAACCTTAGCCTTCTCAAAGCACATAATCTACCTGCTACGTTTGTTAAAAGATGAAAGTCTTCAGCCTGCTACAGAAGTAATTAGAAACTGTGCCCCAATATGCCTAAATGGCAGTTTTTAGGGCCTATTATAGGCGCCTAAAACACTTTTTTTGTGCCTGAAGTTCCCGTCTGTAGTAATGAAATACAGATGTGCCAGGTCGAGATGCTCTTCTCGCATAATCTCGTCGTGTTGAAAGTGCAGTACGTAGAGGGGCTTACGATACATTTATGCTGATACTTGCAGAGATTGCACAGGCGCCAGAGGTCAAAGCTCAACCTCAGAATCAAAGTTCACAGCTGCTGCTCGAGCAGCAGCTGTAGACTAAACCGAAACTAGTCAAACCAGTTTATAACTAACCCAAAGTGCCGTGACAAGTGGTCGTTATATCGGCACTTCGATGCATATAGAATCGCCCACAAACATGTCTACTTTGCGGTAAAAGCCAATTTTTTGTTGAAAAGAAAGCCTTCCACTGACAAATTGGGCCTTTTTGCATGTTAAGTGATGCCCGATTGCTCACGAGTAAATTAAGCAAAGTTTTCAATTAACTCGTGCCATTCCACTGTAGCGCAGTATCACTACATAAACAAAACAATCCTAACTAGTTGCGTGCAGCACGTCACTCAGCTTTCACAATCACATGCCGGGCCATTTGCAGTCCAATGTATGTGTGTGTTTGCGCATTTTTCGTGCATGCTTCTTCACTTCAAAGCATGCTTGGGTGCATCAAGTAGCCTGTTCGTTAACACAACCAAGACTGCATTTTGCAAGCAATGCGCGCAAGCGGCCTCGCATGACACGGTGGCAACGAACTTGCGAACATGCAGCATAATGCGTTGTATGGCTGTCACTCCGCGTGGTTTAACCTTGCGCAGTCATGCAGTTATGTGCAGATGACCGCGATAAGGTTGTCAATGATGAGTCAAAATGGCACGTTCTTCGCCTTAGCTATTTCCTGATGCTTATCCGTTAAGGCACCACCGCAACCGTACGAAAGTCATTATTGATCGGCCGGTATCTACTGTTACTGTAAAGTGGAAAACCTTTTGCGGCACATTGTGGTGCAGTGAGGTGAACGTCACCATAACTCTTATGTGACAAAAAGTTATCACTTCTAGCATTCACGGCTTTGTTTGGAAGGCATTGTTTTGTTATTTAACAACGATCATAGATGTTGAGATCGCGCCAGAAAAGCTTGCCGTGCGAAATTTTTTTGTTTTTATTTCTCACTTCCATTAGGCCAATGAAGGAACACCTGGAAAGTGAGAGACTTCACTCGCAGTGTTTGGAATCTGCGTGCGGTGCTCGCAGCAGCAACAATATTCCTACGTAGCTGACATATCAGGGGTCAGAAGACGGCAACGAGGGAGTGGTCTGTCGGTTGTGCGTGCTGTCCTCCATCTTAGTCAACGCCATACGCATCAGTTTGAATATAGATTTTAAATAGACACGCCTCGTGTCATTTTTACGTAACAATATCATCATTGCAAGTGAACTGCAGCGAGGCATGCGTGAGCGCATGCCTGTTACATGTTTTAGAATGCCTGTTATTGATCAGCCGGTATCTACTGTTACTGTAAAGTGGAAAACCTTTTGCGGCACATTGTGGTGCAGTGAGGTGAACCTCACCATAACTCTTATGTGACAAAAAGTTATCACTTCTAGCATTCACGGCTTTGTTTGGAAGGCATTGTTTTGTTATTTAACAACGATCATAGATGTTGAGATCGCGCCAGAAAAGCCAGAAACCTTTTTTTCAGTTCATATGCACTATATTTTTACCGATATCGTGTCTGAAGTTTTCGTTGTAAAAGTAGGAGACTTTGAAAAATTTTCGCTATACGTGGACGCAGTTTCAATGGCTAGCATAGGAAAACTGTTAGTGAACAGACATATGGTCATTACAACTGATGGATAATTTCATCTGGGATCGTTATAAGTGGGTTCGACAGTATAACCATTTCGATCAAACTGAACACACTGATGTTTCAGTTATGTTTGCGGGCATGGGGCATGATGGCTGATGTGTTTTGCAGCTAATTGATTGATTGATATGTGGTGTTTAACCGTCCCAAAACCACCATATGATTATGAGAGACGCCGTAGTGGAGGGCTCCGGAAATTTCGACCACCTGGGGTTCTTTAACGTGCACCCAAATCTGAGCACACGGGCCTAAACATTTCCGCCTCCATCGGAAATGCAGCCGCCGCAGCCGGGATTTGATCCCGCGACCTGCGGGTCAGCAGCCGAGTACCTTAGCCACTAGACCACCGCGGCGGGGCGTGTTTTGCCGCTAAATTTGAGCGCTGCGGCCCTGTAAGGAGCTGATCAACGAGTATGGCGCAACAGGTGTGATTCGGCGCAGCATGCTGCATGTAAACATGTTAGGTGCACAATGGCACACCTGTGGCATAAAAATGTGCCCATCGCAATAGCAAATGCATGGCTGAAGGCTCTCACATCACAGCACTCACAGGGCGGCGCCCCTGGCCGAGGCGACCCCGGTCACAGGCGGAGATGCAACAGGAGTCTGAGCCGCCACTGCGGCAGCTGCCTCCAGGCTCTCCTGGTAGTCGACATTGTCGTAAAGCGACGGGGTCCTCCGCAGCGTTGCCGACGGGCTGGAGAAGCTGGAAAGGTCGGCTGCGGACGTCTGCGACGTCTCGGCCAGCGAGTTGCGCGAGCTCAGTGGGTCCACTACCGAGCTCGCACCGTCCTCGCTCATGTCGCCACCCCTGCAATGAGTGACAGAAAGCACATAAGTACACCCATCTTTCACATGCTCGCTGATGCTAGCGCACGCTCTCTTAATAAGAGCACATTCGAAACCAAGTGCTTTCTAATGCTTATCAGAAGCCTTACTACAACAGCTGTCTATCACATTTTGGTTGTAATGCAACCTTGGATTGTACTAATTTATCCTGAACTTGCTTTCCTTATTGATTTGTTCGTGCTAAGAAACTCTGTCACTTTGGTCTATACATGTAATACTGATCATGACAGACCATAATGTGCATGAGGTACTTTTGAAACCTGCACATTGTTATTTATTACAATTTTTTTATTATCTGACACATTATGTGGCATAAAACGTTTGCCCAAAATGAACTATATTTCACCCAATGTCATGGCAGAAAATGAAAACTGTGCAACTTACTATAACCCCTAACTAGATATTTGAAATGAGCAAAAAAGCCTATATATGTATTATATATATATATATATATATATATATAGCGAAAATTTGATTGTCGTAGGCTACAGACTAATGCAACACTTTTTCCGAATCGCATCTCCCCTTAACTCCATCAATTACAAAGAGAGCTTTTATTGCCACGTCCCCCCTTAAAAAAATATGAAGGGGCCACTTAAGCAGCATCGTGCATCTCCATGATGGAACCAGCGTTTTCTTGAGTTTATACATTCAAGACTGCTGCAGAGTCAGAAAGGCAGCTTCGCCGCAATGCGGGAATGTAATGGGATGAAGCATAGAAAAAAAAAAAAAAAACTGACGGGGCTACTGACAATCAAACACTGACTGTATTTGTGTTCAGGAAGCTCAAATAGTTGAAACGGTAAAATTCTCGTGCAAACTGAATCGAATAGCAAACAATCTTTGAAAAAATATTTCGAAGCTCGAACTTTTGCACACCCCTGTCAAACTGCCGATGTCATGTGGGATAATTTTTGGTGTGCGCAGCTTGCTTGCTTCCTCTCTCTATCATTGATGTCCCCTCTTTTTGTTTCTCCCTCTCTTTCCTTTTTCTGTCATCACGACCACCTTTCGATGCTCTGCCTCCATAGCAGAGTAATTAGGATGCTTGTCTTCAAATTAAGGGTAGGCAGGTTTGAACTGCACCTCACAAAGAACTTTCTTTTTGACAATGTCTTCTTTTTGATATGCGGGGTTTACCGTCCCAAAACCACCATATGATTATGAGAGACGCCGTAGTGGAGGGCTCTGGAAATTTCGAGCACCTTGGGATCTTTAATGTGCACCAAATATGAGCACATGGGTCTACAGCATTTTCGCCTCCATTGAAAATGCAGCAGCCGCAGCTGGGATTCGATCCCGCGATCTGCGGGTTAGCAGCTGAGAATTTTGTTTTCTTTTTATGCCTCAACACTGTCATCCTGTAGTTAGTATCACAAGAGACCAGATTGAGAGGCACTAAAAGTGGGCATTAAGCACCAAAAATAGGCAGGCAAAACACAGTTTTAGGCCCCCAAGGTCATAAATAAAGGCGCAATACACTTCTACAAAAATTCTAATTCTTGAAAAATACGTGCAAGACCTGTGTCTATGACAAGAAAGCAGAAAAATAAATGTTTTAGCTTATGATGGTGTAAAGGCACCAATGGTTTAGCATAGCCATGCAATTTTTTTACCACAGGGTTTGCAGAGCATGGTTTTTTTTTATTGTCCAGCACAGTCAGTCGAATGTCCACTGTCGAATAAACATGCTCCTGGGTCTATTTATTTTCGGCATTGAGAAGAGGGCAGCACAGGAGTGAAGAGCCAGTCCACTAGTAAGCCAGAAGGGTTACTTAGCCTTGTATTAACCGGGTCTAACCACACAGGGTCAGTTTCTACTCTGTCTGAACACCTTAAAAGACCCTTCACTAGGCTTAACCATTTAGAGTAAGCAAGAGAAATGCATGCATTGGCCACTCGCAATCTCGTCTGCTAAGATTTACAACATTAAGAACCCCAAAAAAAGGTGAAATGTCAGACTGGATGCAGCTAGCCCTTATCCTCATAGGCCCCAACATGGTGTACAATAGGGAATCTTCCAGCATATGTCAAAGTCCCTGCGAGAGTTATCCGAGGCAATGTGTGCAATTTGTCTGATCTGTTGCTTGAATATATAAGAATGAGGATTGAGAGAACTACTAAACGTAGAAACGTGATCTGTGCACATTAGTTATATTTTCTTACTTCGTGTTGAGCGAGATACAAGACAAAGCTGCCTCTACAGTCAAACCTCAATATATCGAACACAGATATATCGAATTATTGCCTATATCGAACGGTTCTTATATCACGTGGGAAATCGCATGCATTATTGATTTTTTATTTCGAACAAAGTTTGACATATAATGGATATATCGAACTCAGCCACCCCAAACCGCCCGCGCTCCATTGACAGGCGGCGAGCTTTCCCGCAACTCTCGAAAGAAGTGGTAGAGCGGCGGGCGTTTACGAATGCTGCACACATTGATGGCGCCGAGAGCGCCACTTTAACCTAGCTGCGTACGCCCGCCGCAGCCTTGCAGCTTGCAGTTGTTGCAGTCTTTATGGTGTCAACGGCACACTGCGCACTTGTTGCAAGCTCCTCCCCCTTAGCATCGGCTGGCATCGGTCGGTGTGCTCGCAGTGTTCGTGCGTTCGGAGTTAAGAGCAAACCTCATAAGCGCGAAAAATGCACGCGACAGCGACGAGCGATGCTATGAGCGACGAAACAGGGCGTTCGCACGACGTGTCGTGGGGTAGTTTTCGCGCGATCGCTCGGTTCTCCAGATTTGGAAACCGTCGCTCATCGCCCGAAAGTGCTGAGCTCAAGCAGCCAAATAGCAAAAAACCGGAAAAGACAAAGACTACATAGGTGCACAGTGACCCTGCCCTAGTCCCGTATGCGCAACAAGAAATAGCGCAATGTTTACGCGTGTGCATATAAAAAAAGTGTTGCAAGGCATTCATAAACACTTTCCGTTCCACTACACAACAATACATCTTATTTTTGAATTGCATACCGCTCACTACGCGGTTTTCTTGGTGCGAGTAGACGGCCTCATGCCAGCAACAGCGGAATTCGCCCGCTGAAGCCGTCGCGTGAATGAGGTTTGCCCTGAGCTAGCGAACTGATCGCGCGAAGACGATATACGTCGCATCGCTCGTCACTGTCGCGTGCATTTTCGTGCTTATGAGGTTTGGCCCTCATAAGCGGATGTGGAGATAACCTCATAAAACGGATGTGGATATTGTCACCGAAGCTACTGCTGAGCAGCCAAATGAAGACTCTGCCGAGGTGGATCCCGCAAGCGCTGATGGTGCCCCGCTCCCGACATCAGCTGAGGTCGTAGCCGCCTTGGCCCTTGTGCGCCGCCACTGCGGCGCGATTGAAGGCACCGGCCTATCGCTTATGGATCACCTGGACTATATTGAGGACGCAGTCGTCAAACACGCCATGGCCAACAAAAAGCAGGCTACTATTTTTCAATATTTTAAACCAACACAATATATACTATGTTTGAATCTTCAAGTGAGTATTTACTGCACCACGCTTGAACGGTTCGTTGGTTGTTATCAGCAAGCTGTTGACGCATTTTTTTCGCTGATTTTTTTATATCGAATTCTGGATATACCGAACTATTTCACGATCGCCGCGCCGTTCGATATATATCGAGGTTCGACTGTATTTCGTTTATGTTAGTGTTCTCTCCGTTGTCGCATCATGCAGATGCCAGCCCTGATAACGCTTAGCATGTTTTGGTGCATAGTCCCTGAGAGCATTCCAGCGGTGCGACACTGTTTATCATGGTAGTGACGCATGATCCATCCCAGCCTCTCCAAACGTTCACGCATAGAGGATCCATTCCACAAAAACGGGCAGCTACACAAAGAACGCCGGAATGACACAACACCGCTTGCGTGCACCGCATGGCACGGGCATGTCATGTGAAGGCAACCTGTCAAATCATGTGAATGCTCATGACGTGTTGATGCATCGCGTCGTGTTAACTTTCTGCTCAGAGTTCCTCTGATACCGATGAGAGCAGGGAAGGAATTCGGCTGGCAAAGTCTACATCGGGCAATTGGCAAAGATTTCAAGCTCACCTTCTTTCATGGCTCACAATGAACCAATTAAAGAATTCTTGTGGTAGAAAGTTTTTCATGGAGCACACAACAGCTTCCAGTATTTACCTAAAATTTCTCATTTGACCTGGTGAAGCACCCTTTCAGAAGAAAATTACAAGCAAAAAACCACGAAGACATTGATTTTTTTTTTTATGGACACTGTACTTTTCGCTTGATGACACTCCTAAGGTTTTGCATTGGTTCTCTCTCATCCTGCGACCGCACAGAAGCACCCCCGTTCCCTACTCGTGCAGGCACATGCCGGGAAGATGCCAAACAGGAATGCGGCATGGATGAATACAAGCCAATCATCCTGCCTGTTGCCTAAGGAGCCTTGACTGTGCTGAAACAAACTGCTGAGATGGAGTATAGCTGGTTTCGGTGTTTGTAAAACTGGCTCGCGCCGAATGGCCTGCCTCAGCAGACTTCTGGTGCGGCACTTCCGGTAATGCTTTTTCAATGGTCCCGGCGGTGTTTGAATTTGCTGTTCTATTATTTCTGGTGCATTCCTTATGATGTGTTCGGAGCAACGTCTAGCAGCTACATGAAGGGGCTCGAAGCGCACGGGAGGTACAGGCGCGGCCACTGCTGTAGATAACAAGGCTCCCGTGGCTGACGGGTGCCACGAAATATTTGTCGTGGCGTTCCGATGAGCGCGGCCCCCTGCTCCGTGTTACCTCTGACAGTGGCCGCGCGCATATACAAACAGAAAATGCATAAATTGCAGGAGAAGTTTGTCAGTCAACTTAATAGAGCCAGTTGGTTCTGCATGTTGACGATGTGAATGCGTTTCGAAGACGCTGACCGGGAATCGACAGCGCACACCTGTGTTTTCCCTGTCCGGGTCTTCAAAGCGCACCCATATCGTCAACATGC